TCCTGACACATATCATATTTGAACTAGGCCAGAATGGATGTGAGTAATAAAGTATCAAAAAGTATAGCAATCCTATATTGTAAACTCACACCCTGCAGCGAGAGATAATAAAGTAGTATGATACATCAGCTCTCTAATCCAGGTATTTCTCTGGAATACCTCATAATTATCGGACCGGACAAGGAGATTGCAGGATTGACAGGTAGTATGCATCTCTCTGAAGTTTCCCCCCTTTTTTCCGGAGTGTTGATACGTGTACGCTTGTGCTGATAAGAGTGGTGACTGAAACAGAAAATCCCCAACCGCTTCAGGGGATGGAAAAGAGGACTGGGTAGAAATACCTTCCTCTCTCTGCCCTTCTTCCCCGTGCAACATATCCCACATCAAAAGGCAGAAAGAGCTTCTCTGTTCTCTTCACAGCTAGCCAGAATTCCTTTTCACTCATCTCAGAGAAATGCCCCATCAAAGAAGCAGGCTAGAGTCACCCCTCCACTCCCAAGTCTGTCAAACAGAGTTGAAATCTTCAAATCAGCATCCAAACTTTTTTTAAAAAAATAAATAAATAAAAATAAAATCTTTGGAATGTCAGAAGTTTTCATTGAAAAGATCTATGAAATAGATTTCCTCCTAACAGCTGTGTTTATGGCAAATGCTATCTCTCCCTATCTTCTTATAAGCCAGGCATATAAAACCTTTCAGACGGGTATTACTCAGCAAGGGATTAATCTTTTCAAACATCACATCCTCGACCTGAATGTTTACTTTAGCAGAGGCTATAATGATTACTTAGCTTACACTGTGTCTAAACAGTCTTAGATGCATATTCAGGGCTTCTTGGCATAGCGACAAATATGTGTGTCAGGTAATAAACATGTATTTCCCATAGGTTAAGACTTAAAGGTATTAGTACCTTGTAATATATCTGAGCTTGAGGCTTAATTTTTCCTAACCAGGTGAAGTCTCAACATAGGGTTCATTATTATTATTATTATTATTCACCTCAAGGCACCTGCAATAACATTCTTCACAGGGGGACAGAGAGACAGGTTCTTGAGAGAGGTTATGACATCTTATAGGTTTTACTCCAGCAAATTCAGTGCATCTGAATCCCAGAGTCCATAGGTAAAGGTAAAGGTAAAGGACCCCTGACAGTTAAGTCCAGTTGCGAACAACTCTGGGGTTGCAGTGCTCATCTCACTTTACTGGCCGAGAGAGCTGATGTTTGTCCGCAGACAGTTTTTCCAGGTCATGTGGCCAGCATGACTAAGTTGATTCTGGTGAAACCAGAACAGCACACGGAAACGCCATTTACCTTCCCGCCGGAGTGGTACCTATTTATCTACTTGCACTTTGACATGCTTTCGAATTGTTAGGTTGGCAGGAGCTGGGACAGAGCAATGGGAGCTCACCCCGTCGTGGGGATTCGAAACCATCGACCTTCCAATCAGCAAGCCCAAGAGGTTCAGTGGTTTAGAGTCATGGCTAAAATACAAAGCCAAAGAAAGAGTTTCAATCCAGGATGCCTTCGCCTCAAAGCTCCAATGGCAGAAAGGCCTCTAAGCCAGCACTGTCTCCTGAGCCTCTTGTGGGAGTAGCTCATAAATTGTTATAAGATCTATGCAAGCCACAAATATGCTGAAATAATATACAATAAAAATGTATCATGCAACTATCACTTATGGACAATGTGTTTGGCAAAGCAATATATTTTGACAATTTGGTTTTCACGTTTGCTTTTGCATTGTGATTTTTCTTTTGGAAGTATTCTCCTGTCACATTTTAGTGTTCAGATTTCCTCTTCCTGATTTGCTCATGGAACAGCTAGAATTTCAGTATGAAAAGATCCCAACAACCTATGGGTTGTCCTGGTGGTGGTGGTGTGCTCCAACCCCTATCAGCCCCACTTTATATGCTACAGCAGAGCTTTCCAAACCAAGTGTCATAACACATTAGTGTGTCAGCTGCAGTGTGTAGGTGTGTCGCACAAACACTCCCCACGCTCCTCCTGGGGCTGGAAAGAGTTTAGTTTAACGCAGTGCTTTTTTTCATGGGGGACACAGGGGTACGCATACCCCTAAACATTTTGTGAATCTAAGTTTGGCCTCATTGAGGGGCAGTATTTCAAAATGAGTAGGAAAATGGGAGTACCCCTAAACATTTTTTTAGGGGAAAAAGCACTGGTTTAACTTCCAGTTTGCTAGTAAAACTGAAATTCTGTGTTGCGAAATGATGCATGTCAAAAAACTGTGTCACCAACATGAAAAGTTTGGGAAGCTCTGTGCTACAGGGCCATTTAAAATAAGAGAACCCTCTTTTAATGTTTAAAGATTCAGAAGGAGCTCCTAGACATAAAAGCAGTTCCTCAGTTGAAGAAGACGCCTAGGGAAACTGAAACTCTTTAATGCATGGTTCACACATGTATTTTTATTATTTATGTTTATTTATATTATTACAGTGGTACCTCTGGTTACATACGTAATTCATTCTGGAGGTCCGTTCTTAACCTGAAACTGTTCTTAACCTGAAGCACCACTTTAGCTAATGGGGCCTCCTGTTGCCGTCGTGCCGCCAGAGCACAATTTCTGTTCTCATCCCAAAGCAAAGTTCTTAACCTGAGGTACTATTTCTGGGTTAGCGGAGTCTGTAACCTGAAGCGTCTGTAACCTGAAGCGTATGTAACCCGCGGTACCACTGTACTTGACGAGTACAGAATCATGTGCTAGCCTGTGTAGAATGATTCATGTTTCACTTCACACCACCTCAAGCATAATTTTTTTCCCATTGGAATAGATTCACAGATTCAGAACTGTGTCAGGCAGAGTGGGGACAAGAGCGCTGAGCTCTGCCTGCCCCAGCCCCAACCTCCACAAGAGTTGGAGGCAGGCATCTATAAGGAGCAGCTTGCTCTGACTCCCTGCACCATCAAAGTTCTAAATCACATAGGAAACCTCCATGCGTAAAAAGAAGGATTTCTGCTTCAAAGGTTATCCCTCCATCTTGGGGAGATGAGGGGTGACTATTTGCTACTGCAGGAAGCAGCAATGGATGCCAACTTGGCTGGCTTGAAAAGAAGATGTGATAAATTCATGACGGCAAAGGCTATCAGTGGCTGCTAGCCATAATGGCAAGGCTCTGCCTCTGGAAACCAGAACTCTTTTGCTCTGGTCCTTCATGCAAGTCTCCAATAGGCAACTGGCTGGCCAGAATGCTGGACTAGATTTTTTATTTTTATTTATTTATTCAACTTATACACCGCCCTATACCCGGAGGTCTGAGGGCAGTTTACAAGACCGCAACATATAAAATCAAGCCAAAAGCAGTAACCCAATACTCCCCCTCCAAAAAGCCACACTCTAAAAGGGTGTTGGATGTCAATAAGATTGCCTGGTGCCTAAAGGTGTATAATGAAGACGCCAGGCAAACGTCCCTGGGGAAAGTATCCCATAGGGAGCCGTTGCAGGGAAGGCCCGTTCTCGTGTTACCACCCTCCTGACCTCTCGAGGAGGAGGCACACGAAGGAGGGCCTTAGAAGATTATCTCAGGGTCTGGGTAGGTTCATATGGAAAGAGGTGGATCTTGAGGTATTGTGGTTCTGAGCCGTTTAAGGCTTTATAGGTCAAAACCAGCCTTTTAATTGGGATTGGAAACTAATTGGTAGCCAGTGCAGTTAGACCAGGATTGGTATAATATGCTCAAACTGTCTTGCTCCGGTGAACAACAGGTCTGCTGAATTCTGCTCTAGCTGAAGTTTCTGAACCGTCTTCAGGGGCAGCCCTACGTATAACGCATTGCAGTAATCAAACCTTGAAGTTACCAGAGCATAGACAACAGTCGTTAGATGGGCCATTGGCCTGATCCAAGGGTTCTTCTCCCACATTATGATGATGTGGGACTACCATGCCAGTGCTCATAGTGCTAATTGTAGCCCTGAACCATTTGGACGAGGGATGGTATCCATACAGGATAAATATGTAAAGTTATGGTAGTCGTTAAATGGTACACTAGAGGAAAACATCTTATATATACCTTTTCAGAATGATGTGGAATGCACAAGGAGTCTTATCAAAATTCTAATGGCTTCTCTTGAAAACCAGTTACTTGCAAGTGGACATCAGGGCCCTCCAAATGGTTGCAACCTTAACCAAATAAGAGTGAAATCCATGCATTTAATACACAAAAAAGCCAGTCAGATTGGATTATATGTACTGTCGGTGACAGCATCAGGGAATGAATTCAGCTGCTAGTGCTCGGCTGAAAGGATAATTATTTAAAGCCTTACACTTTATTAGCTGTTAAACTATTTGAGTCCCTTCTATAATTATAATTCTTCTTTAAATAAAGCTGTGCTTGACATCCTGGTTGCGCATTTTATAGTTTTTCCAATGAATTTTAAAGCCTCACCTTTTCAGCGAGAGGAATGTAGCCGCCACACCAGGGAATCTATGGCTGCCAGCCTCTCCATATGTTCTGTCATTCCTACACTTTTAAGCCCAATTGCAGCATTGCTTTCATAACAAATGTAAATACAGTTCTGACTGGGAATTCTCTTAGTTGAATAAACTTCAAAGGATGTGGCCCCAATGAAGAAGCTTTTTGTTCATCTGCCGCTGTTCACCTTTTGAAAACGTCCCATTTCTCAGTGTAAATTATGCAATGGTTGCCACTTAAAATTTAAAAGATGCACTCATGATAGAGTCAGCATATGGTCTTGTAGATCACAAAGGACCAGATTATGCTCTTCTTAACATAAAAGCCCAGTTTACATGTTATGGTGCCAAGCACTGGCTGCTTTGCATTGCCCCATGTGGTAAAAATGAACTAATCTGCAAGGTGAGTCATTCCACTTGGACAACTCACCACCTGGTTGGAACTTCTATGCAGGAACATAGGAAGCTGCCTTACAACTGAGTCAGACCAATGGCCCATCTAGCTCAGCATAGTTGACACTGACTGGCAATGGCTTTCCAGGATTTCAGACCAGAGTTTCTCCCAGCCCTATCTGCTGATCTCAGAGATTGAACATAGGACCTTATGCATCTAAGGCAGATGCTCTACCTCAGAGCTGCACCCCTGTTTGAAGCAAGGACATAAATCCATAGCAATCTTCACAAAGCAACCAAAGTGTGTGGGGCAGAAAGGCTTTTGAAAAGAATACTTCAATGTTCTTCGGCTCTCACTGTTGTCTCACCCAACAGCACCCACAAGGAACAGCCATCCTATGATAACTTCCAGTCAATCTGTGGGAGGGTGGTCATGTGCCTGCCTGTACTGGCATAAGCAGGATATACCGTACTGGTATATACAGTGAGAGCTGGACCATAAAGAAGGCTGATTGCCGAAGAATTGATGCTTTTGAATTATGGTGCTGGAGAAGACCCTTGAGAGTCCCATGGACTGCAAGAAGATCAAACCTATCCATTCTGAAGGAAATCAACCCTGAGTGCTCACTGGAAGGACAGATCCTGAAGCTGAGGCTCCAATACTTTGGCCACCTCATGAGAAGAGAAGACTCCCTGGAAAAGACCCTGATGTTGGGAAAGATTGAGGGCACAAGAAGAAGGGGACAAGAGAGGACAAGATGGTTGCACAGCGTTCTCGAAGCTACTAACATGAGTTTGACCAAAATGCAGGAGGCAGTGGAAGACAGGAGCGCCTGACGTGCTCTGGTCCATGGGGTCACAAAGAGTCGGACACGACTAAACAACAACAACCATATTGGCCCGAATATAAGCCGCACCCGCAAATAAGCCACACCTTTAAAAATTTGCGGCTTGGGGGAGGCTTGGGAGCAGTGGGTGGGCTGGTCACTGTTGCCCCAAGCTCCTGGGCTGCTTCCTGAGGGGAGAGCCACACCGCTTTGCCAGCAACATAAGGTCGCGAATATAAGCCACACTTTAACTTTTCAAGATCGGAATTTGGAAAAAAAACCTGTGACTTATATTCAGGCCAATACAGTAGGTTGGGCATTAAATGTGGGTTAATGGTGAAGTGCCACAAATTGAATCCAGGTTGACTCCTGCATGTGCTTGCAAGTTTACATGAGTACCTTGCCATGAAAAGACAATCTGGGCTTTAACTTTTCTTTGTGGCTGCCCTTGGTGAATGTGGTCAGGAGTCTGAGTTTGTATTTGGGTTACACTTTACTTGACTAATTTTAGATCAGGTAACCATAGACTCTTAATGACTGAATGGACCCAATGAACCATCTAATCTAATTTCCTGGCCCAATATAGTATATCTTGTCACTTCTGATCTTCTCCAAAGTGTTCTGTTTCCTTTTACACAGATTTTCAACAGTTTGCTCAGTGGATGAACGGCATCAGTGGGTAAGTAACCTTTCTAACTATTTGATATGGCTTTCACTTTTTAAATAGATTTGATATGGCTTCTCAGTTGAAATAGTGAGAGATTGTCTTGATTCTTCTTTCTGAAGTGTGCATGCTACAGAAGAAAATAAATAGAATAAAAATTAATCTTCCATTGTAGGCAAACAAGTATATTTTTATGAATATGCTGGGAGTAGGGTTTTAAAAAATGCAAATACAAAGCACGAAACTTTTCACTGTACCTGTAAAGTCCACAGCCACTTCTCTTAGGATGATTTCATCCCAAATTGGTAGTGACAGATTCAGGATAAATGGCAAATAAGCAATGGCATGACATCAATAAATATTGCATACGACAATGTTATATGTTATCGTTTAAGCAAACCAATATATCACAGTTACATACCCGTTCCTGGTTAAGCGTGATAGTGCACATGAAAACATTATTCAGTTCAATGAAACATTGGAGATAATGACATTTAACAAAGTGCATTCATAAAACCAAATTTAAGCTGCTTGCCTCTCTTTGAAGGAAAAGACGCAGTCCTAATTTTGATTATACCAGCTTATCTAGATTGTGGGCTAGGGTGTTTCTCATGGCCAGTAAATATGATAATTTCAGATGTCCTATATCTAAATGTAAAGGTAAAGGTAAAGGGACCCCTGACCATTAGGTCCAGTCGTGGCCGACTCTGGGGTTGCGGCGCTCATCTCGCTTTATTGGCCAAGGGAACTGGCGTACAGCTTCTGGGTCATGTGGCCAGCATGACTAAGTCGCTTCTGCTGAACCAGAGCAGCACACGGAAACGCCGTTTACCTTCCCGCTGGAGCAGTACCTATTTATCTACTTGCACGTTGACGTGCTTTCGAACTGCTAGGTTGGCAGGAGCAGGGACCGAGCAACGGGAGCTCACCCCGTCGTGGGGATTCGAACCGCCAACCTTCTGATCGGCAAGTCCTAGGCTCTGTGGTTTAACCCACAGCACCACCCGCGTCTCTATATCTAAATGTACCCTGAGACAATTAAAGGAAAGTGCTGTTGGTTTCTGCTTCTGTCTGCAAGTGCTATACACCTCTAGGTAAAGGTAATGTGAAGTTAGAAGGGTTGCCTTTAACCTTAATGGCAGGATGCTTCCCTCAAGTGCCTGCTCTGGTTATGGATGGACTAGACAGTGGCTGTAGCCTGTTGGAAGTCTGGCTCAGAGTCTTTGCTTACTTTCCAGTTGATCATCTCTGATGCATTAGAATCTATGCATTGATCCACAATTGTTCTATTAGAGCTACATAGGCTCTATATGTATAAGGTCTGTCTTATGGGACTGGCCTCTTTTCATGGTATGTTTTCAATAAAACCGGAATTAAAAATAAGACATATTGGGATTGTCAAACTATAAATTATGGGAAAGCAAATTAAAGTTATGATGAGGATAGCTCAATTCTCTTCAAAAGGAATTAATTAATTGAATCAATTAAAATGCCTACCTCTATTTCCATATAACAGGGATATCCAACAGGTAGATTGTGATCTACTGGTAGATTGGGGGGGTCTGTGGTAGATCATGGGGACCCACCCACTAAAAAACAGAAAAAAGTTCAACAACTTTGGTCGATCACTGCCAGTTTTTTTATAGTGGGAGTAGATCTCCGGCTCTTGCAAGTTGGACATGCCTGCATTAGAATATTGTAGTTACTTGCCTTTTTAGAGGGTGAAACTGATTTTTTGCAAATTTCTTCAGTGAGGGGTAAGACCTCACTGAAGATCCCTCACTGAAGAAATTTACAAAAAAATGCAATTTTTAAAATAAAAAAGACATCTTCCTATTAACAGACTATTTCATTATTTTTAACAAAACATTTCTAAGCTCACTTCTTTACAATCTGAAGAAAATATTTTTTTTCCTAAGAGCTGAATGATCTTTTATTATGTTAAACCAAACGTGACAGCAAAATTCTTCCAAAATTTCCTATCACTGTTAACTGGCCACGTGAATAGATCATAAATGCTGGGTTTTTTTACAGAACTAGGCAAAATTTCAAGATCTTCAATCCAACTATGCTTCCTCCATTTTTCCTCATGACAAACTCCAGCCAGGTTCTACTTAAAGGAGCTGAATTTAAGTAGTATTACTACAATTGTCTTCAGCTGAAATCTGCTTGAAGTCGTTTCACCTCAACCAAGTTGTAGACTGGACAATGGTATCCTATTCCAGCTTCTGCTGAGAGAAGCCATGCACAACACCACTTTCCCTTTGGTCAACCACATTGCCAAAATCCAACTTACCCCATCTGTTTCCCCCCCAAGGATACACATTGACACATCCTGGCAAATGTGCTTATAAAACCCTGAATTGTTTTTTTAGTGAGGTATTTATTTAATAAATTTTTATCCCACCCTTCCTCCCATCTAAGAACACCTTAAAATGTTTTAAAACATTAAGAATGGACTAAAAATGGTCTGACCTCTTCATTATTGACCTTAAACTTGATTGCACAAAAGTCCTAAAAATATTATTTGCATATCAAGAACAAAAAAACCCAAACGTCCTGTATAAAACCTGTCTAAAGTTTCTGGCGATCTACTGCAGAGTTCTGTTCTGCAAGTGCAGTCCTTTAATAATACCACATTCACATCCTCACGTTAATATTGGCATGTGGCTATTTTAATTTTGTTTAATTTTGTTCCCTTACCTACAGTAAAAATTTCCGATAGATCTTTATTTTAAATGTCTAGCAATATTGCTTCTGTCAAATGTGAATAGAACTGCTTGATGGTTTTATCTGCAAAAGCAGATGGTATGTCAGAATGCATTAATGACCAACGTTTTCATGAGAAGAAATCAATTGCTTGTTTTAGCAAAATGTGAGCCTTTGCACATTCACTTATCCTAATATGAATTGCCATGGATTTACTGTTAAAAGTATATATGTTTTTCTTTTAGAAGAACTGCAGAAACAAAACAGTTCTACTCTTTTTTGCTAGTGTTTCAAAACTAATTCATACTGCCACTGCCTTACTCACAATGGTCATCTAGTCTAACCCCTGCAATGCAGGAATTTAAAGGCAAATTCTCACTTAACAAAAAAATTGTCCTAGCTTCTCCCCAGTGCATGCAGACAGAGGCTGTAACTTGGAAGTCCAAGATGAGGGAAAGCGACATTTCCAAAAGGTGTATATCAGGGGAAATTACATAGGAAAATGTGTATATTAGGAGAAATTTGCTGTAAAATGCTGATTAATTTTCAGGATAGCCTTTTTAAAAAATGCGAACTGATGAGGAAATGCGGAGAATCAAATTTAATCAAAAATAAGAAGCTGAAACCAAAATTGACAGATTGACCCATCCCTAATGTGTACATGGGATGGGATGCTTCGTTAAGTGGCCAAAACCTCAGTATCTCCAGCCCACAGAGAATGTGGCAACTGTAACTGGCTCCTTTCCTTAGTAGCTAAATGGATTGTCTGTGAGATATACTTGTGGCCTGGCTCATTCAGGTTCACTGCACAGTTTCTTTGTTACTTTATGATAAACTAAGCATGTATATTATAAATATTAATGTTACAAATGACATGATATTGGAATGAATTTGCAGGGAAACTGTAAATCAGGATAGTTGTGGCACCCCAGAGATTGTTGGACTTCCATCTTCCCTGACCATTGGCCATGCTGACTGGGACTCATGGAAACTGGAGTCCAACGTTATCCAGAGGGCCACAGATTCTCTAGCCACGCTGTAAATTC